TGGGGAAGAGTCCTGTTTAGCATTTTATGATTGGGCATGTCCAGGTAGTCCTGGAAGACCCACTGGAGGGTATAGAGGAAACAGCTACCCAAGGTAACCTATCAAACCCCTTCTAAAGTTATATGATGTCTTTTTCTGAGGTGTGTTATTTCTTTCTCATCTTCTGTATTTTTAAAAATTCCCTAATACATGAGTGTATTCTCATCGTATGAGAATAGAGAGAGAGCTACTATGAAAATTCCCTTTCAACTCCTTATTTCTGTGTGTCCCCATCTCTCTCCCTCACACACACACATGCACACACAATTTTCCCTGTCTCCATAGGTGTTTACTGTCACCTATGGTGATCCAGACTGCATCTTTCTAGTCCCCTTTCTATATATTTAAAAAGTCATAATAATTTTTAATATGAATTAATTTGTAGGTGTATGTGTGTGTAAATATATGAGGTCTTTCAGTATATGTTCTACAGGTTGCTTTATTCATTGGCTTATGTCTATATCCTTAATGATAGACACTTAGATTGTTTCTAGTGTTTTTCAGTTGTACGTAAGGAAGCAGTGAATATTCTTGTGCATACATCTTTGTGTACATGAGCAAGTAATCTTTTAAACAGATTTCTAGAAGTGAAATTGCTGAGTTAAAGTATATAAACATTCCAGATTTTGGCAGATACTTCTAGGTAATCTAACAAGGCTTCTCTAATTAATGCTCCCATGAACTACAATGCAGCCAAATACTTGTTACTTATGTACTTTCCCAACCTTGATACTGCTCATGATATCTTTGTAACGGCCTGGATGGAAACCTCTTTTATATAATTGCTACCCTTAAGAGACTGATAGGTTGCTAAGAGTATAAATGTGGCCTCAGGTTTCTCACCCGTTTTGTTTTTATGGATAGAATTGGAATATTGGTGATTATTATAGAGAATTGCACATTTAGATGCTTATTAAATTTCACTATTAAAGACTTACTGCTTATTGACTATTTTGTTTGTGCCAGGAACTGTTGAGTTACGTATCTCATTTAATCCTCAAAGCCTGTATTAGTCATTTGATGTTGTAGTACATGTTATCCCAAAACTTAGTGGCTTAAAACAACAAACATTTATTATCTCGTAGTTTCTGTGGATCAGGAATTCAGAAGCAACTTAGCTGGCTCTGGATCTCTCTAAAGTTGCAGCCAAGATGTACAACAGAGTTGCGCCACCTGAAGCTTGACTAGAACTTGGAGGATTTTTACTTATATGACTATTGGCAGGAGGCCTCAGTTCCTCCCAAACATGGGCTTCTGTGTAGAGCTTCTTCATTGTCTTTACGACATGTCAGTTAGCTTCTCTAGAGTGAGTAATCCGAGAGACAGAGCAAAGAGGAAGCTGCAGTGCCTTTTATGACCTAGTCTGCAAAGTTGCATGTTAGCACTTCCACTTTATTCTCTTCACTAGAAGCCAGTCACTAAGTCTAGCTCATACTCAAGGAAAAGAGAATTAGACTCCACCACTTGAAAGGAGGAATATCAAAGAATTTGTGGATGTATTTTAAAATAGCCACACATTCCTATGCGTGGTGGTTCTTGATGTTATACCCATTTTATTGGTAAGAAAAATGAAATTACTACTTATCTAGCCTTATCTGTTACATCATAGCCCCTACCTCCTACTTTATTTGGACTAGCCGTCTCAACGCCTGTCCCAGACACAGAGTGTTCATTGTCAACCATTTGTTCATATTGTAGATACTTAATGAGTCCTGTCTTTGTACCAGGCATATTATGGAAAGTAAAACAGACATGGCCCTTGATCACATGGAGCTTATAGTCTTGTAGAAAAGAGAAACCTTAATCCAGTTATCACACAAATAAGTGAATCACAGTCACTTTGATACATGGTATTTATGCTGTTACTTTTGCTGTCGTTAGGTGCCATCAAGTCGGCTCAGACTCAGAGACCCTGTGTACAACAGAACAAGATACTGCCAGTCCTGTGCCAGCCTCACAGTCATTGCTGTATCTGAGCCCATCTTTGCAGCCACTGTGTCAGTCCATCTTGTTGAGGGTCTTCTCTTTTTTTGCTGACCCTCCACTTTACCAAGGATGATACCCTTCTCCAGGGTATGGTCCCTTCTGACAACATGACCAAAGTAGGTGAGACAAAGACTGGCCATTCTCGCTTCCAAGGAGCATTCTGACTATACTTCTTCCACGACAGATTTGTTCATGCTTCTGGCAGTCCCTGGTATTTTCAGTATTCCTTGCCAACACCACAACTCAAAGCATCAACTCTTCTTCTGTCTTCCTTATTCACTGTCCAGCTTTCACATGCATAAGAGGCAATTGAAAATACATGCTGTTGGTCCCTCCCTATTCCCCAATGCTACTCTCACTCTTCTGACCTAGAAAGACTACCTGCTTTATATTTATATATGAACTCTATCAGAGTCTAATTTGAGTCCTACTTAAATGAAATCTGTTGCTTTCAGTTTGCACCTGAAGTATCGTTTTCTCTGAATTTTTTTCAGTATCCCATTTAATACTTGTTTCTTCCATGTGAGTTCTCTCAGCTTTATTGAAAGCTCCTTTAAGTTAGAGATCTAGGACTTTTAGTTTCTATCTGTTCCATGCCCCTTACATCCAGTTCCTTAGGAAATCATGTTCTCTCTACTTCATAATGCCTACTTCTACCACCAAGTCTGAACCTCTGCTGTCTCTTGCCTGGACTTCCCAACTGGTCTTCTTACTGGTCTTCCTGTTTCCACATAATAGCCATAATAATCTTCGTCAAAGATATCTCCAGCCATGTAACTACTCAATTAATACTCCTTTCAGTTGCTCGGTTTCTCTCTTTCTCTGCACTAGCTACTCTGTCCTTCTTTCTATTCAAATATGCCAAGTTCCTTCCTGCATTGGGGACTTTGCTCTGGCAGTTCTTTCAGCAATGAAATGTACTTCATCTAGTCTTTGTATGATTAATTCATTATTATTTAGATCTTAATTTAAATTTCAGTTCATTATAGAGACCTTCTCTTATCTGACCTAAAATAGCTACCCAGTCACTTTCATCAAGTTACCTTATTTTAATTTTCTCTCTAATGCTTCCTGCTATCTAATATTTTTCTTACGTAAAATTTCTGTCTCCTGCACTAAAATACAGGCTCCACAAGATCACTGATATTTGTGTTGTCCACCACTGACATAATAAAAACCAAAAACCAAACTCACTGCCATCAAATCGATTCTGACAGTGACCCCCATTGTGTTTCCAAGGTTGTAAATCTTTACGGAAACAGACTGCCTCATCTTTCTTCCATGGAGTGGCTGGTGGGTTTGAACTGCCAACCTTTTGATTAGCAGCCAGATACCTTAACTGCTACACCACCAGAGCTCCTACTAACATATAACGGGGTTCAATATGTATTTGTTGCATTAATAAATGGATGAAAAATGGTCTCAAGCCCCTGAACTTACCCATTCTAAAAGGAACAAGGGTGAAGAGAATCTGAGTTCTCAGGCTCCCTAGTGAACTACCTTGCTCAGACCAAGCTGCTGTTCACTCTAGGAGCCCTGTTTTAATTCTCTGCATAGTTCTCATTACTTCCTGATACATTTCTTCATGCTTTTCTGTTACCTTGTACTAGGACATAAGCTCCATGAGAGCAGAACCTCATGGTCTTATTTGCCACTTTTTCTGCAGTGCCCAGAACAGAAAATGTCAAATATTTGTTGAAGGAATAAATAGAAGCTTAGGTTCTACTTTGTCTTATATCCCCCTGGTTATAAGCATGGTTATACAGTGCTAGGCATGTAGCAAGTGCCTAGAAACTTTTGTGGGTACTCTGATCAATGAAGCCACTCTAAATATAAATACTAGTGATAGATCCTGTGTCCTCATTCTAGAATTTGGGACAGGAAAGCAATTTAAAACTAAGAATTTTTTAGGAATGGTTTTAGTCATACTGCAAGCCTTGTTAGAACATGATCTCTACAGTTTGGAATTGGGTATTATCCAGGTTCCTAATGGTCTTCATTCAAGGGAGATTAGAAATTAAAAGAACCAAGAGGACTTCATGATTTCTGTCTAGTCATGTAGTTATATTGCATCATTCTGAGATTCCTATATATTTGAATTAGAGAAGTTTTTTTTGTTGTTGTTGTTGTTTGTTTGTGTTTGTTTGTTTTCCAGGTATATCTCAACCTCTCCTGCCCCATCCACATACCAAACATAAGCAGCCTACATATTCTAACATTTTTCAAAGCTGCAAGTCCAGCTATTTAGAATTCTACCCTAAATAGCAGGAGAGAAGCCACATTTTATTTTGATTCAGTTCCTATTTTAATACATTTATTGCATCAGTCAGTGAGTCAATGGTATTTATTGAGCCCCTTCAGGGTACAAAGTAGTGCTTTGGTTGAGCTATTGAGTTTGAAATATTAATCACATTGTTAAACCAAAACTAAATCCCTAAGTAGTTGAAAATGCTTTTCAGGTTGTCAGGATACAGTTCTTGTACACTGTATATTGTGATGATGGGCTTTTACTTTATAATATATACTCCCAATTGGACAGGAACAAAAGTTCAGTAAGTAACTGTGGTGTTATTTTTTACCAAAATGAAATCTTTTAGTGGCCCTTAGTCATTAGTCCCGTTCCTGTCCAAATGTTGAAGGATTGTATTGTAATCACTGCATCTTTTGAGTAATTTAAGATTTCTGGATCTCCTAGCTGCCAGGGCTAGGGAAAAGAATAGTACTTATGTTCCCTTCTCTGGCACTGGTGTTTAAATTGATCATGGAAAGAGGAGATATTTTTGTTGCCTCCCAGATCTCAAGTCTGTCCAAAGTACTATAGTTCCTATTCTCTGAGCTGCCAGGGTATAACATGTGGATCACAAAAAGGCATAAAATCCAAGGTTCATGGACATCATCTTCAACTGTAGAGCTTGTAACGAAACCATACACTCTACAGATTCTGTTTCCATTGTTTGTTACTTTTTTCCTTTCAGATTACTCTGTTGACTTCTGCAGTAAACCATCTCAAAGCCAATGTTAAGTCAGCTTCTGATTTAATTAGCCTGCCTTCCACTGTAGAGGGACTTCAGAAGGTAAGTGCTATGTGAGCTCTGAGATTAACCTACTGCTATAATTCTAACTTCTTACAAGTTTTCCTTGAATATATTCCTTTTGAAATCAGCTGTTCTGAGGGAGTAGTAGTAATATGTGGACTGTATCACTGTGTTCTGAAGATTTCAGGATGACTTTGTTTTGGTCTGGTTAGTTGGAGCTTTAATTTGCAACAGGTTACTTTAGCCTTGGTTTATATGAGTTCACACTTTTTTATTTGTTTCTGTGAGACCCAGAATTGCTCTACTGGAACCTTTATGGGAGCATATGATGGGTTTGCTTTTTATCATGTGCCTTTTCACTTCATCATTCATAGTGTCTTCATTATGCTTCAAGAAAGCAGACCAGTTGTACCTGAGAGTTGCTCTAAAACTATTCTTTCCATGGTTCAGAAAGAATTTTCTTTAAAACATGATTTTGGGAAATGCAAAACGTTAAAAAATCAGGAAATGGTAAGTAAGGTTGTGGAGCAAAGGAAACTTTCAGCTATTCCTGGCAGGAGTATAAATTGGGAAAATAATTTGGAAAAGAATTTAATATTGTTTTGTAAAGTTGAACATGCACATCCTCTAAGAAATGTGTTCCTAGTTATATACTCTAGACTTTAGGACCTACACAAACAATAGTTTAGAGTTTCTTTTTCACTTAATCTCTAGGATTCAGGCCTAGAATGGGAGGCTAGGACCAACCAGATAAATAATACTTAGGGATCCTTAGAGCTAATTGGGGGGAGTGGATAGGTGTGGAAAGGAGGAACCAAACCAAACCCACTGCCATCAAAACAATTCAACTCATAAGGCGACTCTGTAGGACAGAGTAGAACTGCCTCATAGGGTTTCCAAGACTGTAATCTTTTTTTTTTTTTTTTTTTTTAGGATTTGGGTGAAGATTTACAAAGTAAATTCACTTTTCATACAGCAGTTCACATATACTTTGTCTCATGTCATTGACCAAAATTTACAATGCAGCAGCTCCCCTCCCACTTCCTCCCCATAGTTACCTCCTCCCAGTGTCCATCCCTTCATACTCTTCGAGAGGCCCATTTTCTGCCAACCCTGTATATGATCTTGGATACACTCTCCATTTAGACATACATAATTGTTTAGCTTGTTCACCCATCTATCCGTCCCTATACCCATATTTGCTTTCATTAACAACTCAGTATTGTATTTACAAAGGGGTTCATATTTGTTGTTTGTACTGCCCATGTAACTCTCTCTGTCTTTCTCATCCTCAATGCTGCCATATTGGTCACTCACATTTGGTACATTGCCCTTCTCTTCACCCAAATCAATATTTATCTCTATCTATCTAACAGCATTCCCTCCCCTTCCCTCCCACCCCTGGTAACCAACAAAGAAAATGTCCTCCAATATATAAACATTTCCTTAACTTTTACAATAACGGACTAATACAATATTTGTCCTTTTGTGACTGACTTATTTCGCTCAGCATAATGTCCTCCAAGTTCATCCACGTTATGCGGTGTTCTGCAGATTCTACATTATTCTTTAGCGTTGCATAGTATTCCATTGTGTGAATGTACCAAAGTTTGGTTATCCATTCCTCAGTTGTTGGACATCTAGGTTGTTTCCAAGTTTTGGCTATTGTAAATAGTGCTGCGATGAACATCGGCGTGCATATATCTGTTCTTGTTATGGCTCTCACTTCTTTAGGGTATATAGCTAGTAATGGGATGGCTGGGTCAAATGGTATTTGTATCTCCAACTTTTGAAGGAATCGCCATACTGCTTTCCACAATGGTTGTACCATTTTACAGTCCCACCAGCAGTGTATGAGAGTCCCAATCTCTCCACAACCTCGCCAGCATTTGTTATTTTCTGTCTTGTTGAACTTTGCTACTAGTGCTGGAGCAAGATGGTATCTCATTGTTGTTTTGATTTGCATCTCTCTAATAGCTAATGATCGTGAGCATTTCTTCATATGTTTGTTGGCCGCTTGAATATCCTCCTTGGTGAAGTGTCTGTTCATGTCTTCTGCCCATTTTTTAATTGGATTGTTTGTCTTTTTGTTATTGAGGTGTTGGAGTGTTCTATAAATTCTAGAGATAAGTCCCTTGTCAGATATGTTATTACCAAATATTTTTTCCCAATCTGTAGGTTCTCTTTTGACTCTTTTGGAGAAGTCTTTGGAAGCACATAAACATTTAATTTTTAGAAGGTCCCAATCATCTGGCTTCTCTTCTGCTGTTGGTGCATTTTGAATTATGCTTGGTAGTCTATTTATACCAAATATTAGGGCCCTTAAGTTTGACCCTAAATTTTCCTTGAGAAACTGTATAGTTCTAGGTTTCACATTTAAGTCTTTGATCCATCTGGAGTTCATTTTTGTGTGTGGTGTGAGGTACATATCTTGTTTCATTTTTCTGCAAATGGATCTCCAGTTTTGCCAGCACCATTTATTAAACAAACATTCTCTTCCCCACTTAATGGATTTGGGGCCTTTGTCAAAGATCAGCTGACTATAGGTTGATTGATCTATACCTGGGTTCTCAATTCTATTCCATTGGTCTATGTATCTGTCATTGAACCAATACCAGGCAGTTTTGACTACTGTGGCTGTATAGTAGGTTTTGAGATCCGGCAATGTGAGACCTCCTACTTTGTTTTTCTTCTTCAGTAGTGCTTTGCTTATCCGAGGTCTCTTTCCTTTCCATATAAAGTTAGTGATCATTTTTTCCATATCCCTAAAGAATGTTGATGGGATCTGGATTGGGATTGCATTGAATGTATAGATTGCTTTGGGTAGAACTGACATTTTCACAATGTTCAATCTTCCTATCCATGAGCATGGGATGTTTTTCCATTTATTTAGGTCTTTTATAGTTTCTTGAAGTAGCTTTTTATAGTTTTCTTTGTAGAGGTCTTTTGTGTCTCTGGTAAGATTTATTCCCAAGTATTTTATTTTTTTGGTAGCTATTGAGAATGGTATTGATTTTCTTATTTCTTTTTCAGCAATCTCTTTGCTGGTGCCAAGACTGTAATCTTTATGGAAGCAGACTGCCACACCTTTCTCCCACAGAGCAGCTGGTGGATTTAAACCACCAGGGCTCATTAGAAAGGGAGAACAAAAAACTCAAACCAAACTCAATGCCATCGAGTCGATTCCGATTCATAGCGACCCCCTTTGGGTTTCCATGGTGGTAAATCTTTAAAGAAGTAGATTGCCCAGTCTTAGAAAGGGAGAAAGAGGAGCCTGCTGAGAACACAAGGAACATCAGCAGGAAATGGAAGGAAGAGACTGAGGAGCAAGGGAATCTTAAACATGAAAGTATCGAATCTAAGACCTTTTTGACTTTTAAAAATCTGTGTGTGATGTGTTTGATTTGACTATATTCCAGGCACTATAAACATATAAGTTGTTTTAACAAAAGAATGAAAAATTCAGTGAAAGCAAAAACAAAACTTGCTCTTCTATAACAACATCACCTGTGTGTGCCCAGTCTTCATAGTTTGCTACAACTTTAAAAAGAACTTTGATAAGGCCAAGTTCTTCTTGCCATTGGTCCCACAGGGCAAGTGGGAAAAAGGTAGCTTTTAGTATGGACTAGTAGTATTGCATTAGAAAGAAAATTTGTTTATTCTTGCATTCATTAATTTCATAAACATTTGTGGCACTTTCTCCAGTATGTGCCAAGCACTTTGTGGTGGATAGGAATACTAGTTTCAGAGTTCCATTCCAATGTTCACATGACTCTGTCAGCTGCTTCTCAAAAAAAGATCCTTAAACAACAGCTCACTATCTTCTTGCACCCTGCTGGGCTCATACATCCAGCCCAAGAAGATTCTTTAACTGTAAGTGTCTTTGAATGCCTGTGGCTTTTGTAAAAAGAGTGCTTGCATAGATAGATTAGAGATTTTTACCCAGTATGTTGTCTTTTTGCAAATCTGTGTGTTAATAACGCTAGACACTGCTTTTATTATAGTTTTGAAGTGGTAGGCCATCCCGAAAACCTGATTTCAGTGTATCTCATGCAATTTTTTTTTTTCAGTTTTGAAAAATACCATCTCTTGGGTTCTTGGATATCAGTATAAAAATTATTTTGGTTGAAAATACTAATGTGACACCATAAAATTATTACTATATCTTAAAAGGCCAAACTCATCAAATACTAACATTCTTTTGGATATTCCCTTAATACAAGCCTTTTTTAAAAGAGAGATTCTGAATTCTGTTTCCAAAGTCCCCAACCCACTTGGGCTCTTCAGCCTAATTTAAGTAAAGTAAGCTATTGCCTTTCTTAACTCTACTTACAGTTGCCAACAGAATTCCACAGTAGGGGGAGAACAAACGCTGTGAAATGGGATTTTTCCTTCATCTTTGCAGTGCTGTGTTTTCCAGAGCCAAAAATGATTCCCACCCATTTTTGCTCAAGTCATTGTTTGCTCCTAACACAAGTAGCAGTCTACAGTGTTAGCTCTGCCTGCGTAGAGAAGGGCTTGAACAAGGCAGTTTGTGGTAGAACCTTATCTGTAAATCAAACCAAACCAAACTCACTGCCATCAAGTCAATTCCAACTCATAGCGACCCCTTTTGGGTTTCCGAGATGGTAAATCTTTATGGAAGTAGATTGCCCAGTCTTCCTTTTGCAGAGTGACTGGTGGGTTTAAACCACCAACCTTCTGGCTGGTAGTCAAGTGCCTTAGGCACTACCCTACCAGGGCTCCTTGAACCTATTCTGTAGGTCCCAGATACATAAACCCATGTCTTTTCTTTAGGAAAAGAGACTGTCTTCCTCTAGGAAAAGTCTTTTAAGTTGGAAAAATTGCTTATTATTTAGATAGATTGATAGATTGATTGATTCCTATTCATCATGTCAGTATAAGCTACATGGAATTCATAGTTTGAAGATATTTAAAGTAACTGAAAACACTGACCTTCGTTAGGTCAGTGTTTAATGCAAATTAAAACCATGTCAGTATACCACTACACTCCCACTAGAATGATTAAATTTAAAAGACTCCATACCATTGTCAAGGATATGAAGGAACTAGAACTCTCTCTCATATACTACTGGAGGGAATGTAAAATGGTACAACTACTTTGGAACACAGTTTGTCAGTTTTTTGTTTTTCTAAAAGAAAAAAGTTAAGCATTATCATGATGATGAGAAAGTATATGATGAAGAGAAATGACAGCATATGTCCATATAAATACTTGGACATGAATGTTTATAGCAGCTTTATTTGTAATAGTCAAATATTGAAAACAACCCTGCTGTCTGTCAACTCCAATATAGATACAATAGAATGCTATTCAGGAGCATGCTAAGTCACTACAACATGGATGAATCTCAGAATAATTATACTGAGTGAAAGGAGCCACCACCCCCCTAAAAAAAATAGTACATACTGGTACTATTTATATAAATTTGAGATAATACAAACAGATGTATAATGATGGAAAACAGGTAAGTGGTTGCCTGTGGCTGGGAAGGGAGAAATTACAAAGGGGCATGAGGAAACTTTTAAGGGTGATAGTTGTTTATCTTGATTGTGCATTGGTTTCACAGGTATATATATATATACATCACACTTAGCAAGTTATATATTTTAAATATGTGCAGTTTATTGTATGTCAGTGTATCTCAGATAAAAACACTGACCTTCCTCATTGTTTCTGCTCAGAGTGTTGCTTCCATTGGTAACACTTTAAACAGTGTCCATCTTGCTGTGGAGGCAATACAGAAAACTGTGGATGAACACAAGAAAACCATGGAAATACTGCAGAGTGATGTGGTAAGGAAATCTACAAATGCTCCAGAAAGTCTTAACATAATCCTGCACACCCTTTACTCTATAACAGTAGTGATACCAGTTTTCCACTTATCTCAACAGACCTTACTATGAACCTTGTTAAAAGATAAAATAAGCAATATTTATTGATTTTTCTACAATTAATTAATTGATTTTTAGTCGCTATGGGTCGGGTTTGACTCGACGGCACATAACAACAACTTGTTTGAATTAAAAGCTGAGTTTGTCTGCGAATATGGCACTGGAGAAGAGTTCCTGAGACTAGAATGGTAGGAGGGAAAATGGAAAGGAGAAAAGGAAGTAAGGAAGTATCTATTGCTATGTAACATGCATATGAGGCAGTTGAAAACACCATGGCTTAGGTTAGGCACACTTAAGTCCTCAAAGAGACATCTTTGCTCTTCCGCACTTTAAAGAGGTATTTTGCAGCAGATTTGCCCGGTGCAATACATCATCTGATTTCTTGACTGCTGCTTCCATTGGTGTTGATTGTAGAAACCAAGTAATATGAAATCTTTGACAACTTGAGTCTTTTCTGCATTTGTCATGATACTGCTTATTGATCCAGTTTTGAGGAATTTTGTTGAGGTATAATCCATACTATAGACAGTAGTCTTTAATCTTCATCAACTTAAAAAATCACCTCAAAACTCATTGGCTTAAAACACCAAGTTACTACTACTATTCTGGGGGTCAAGAGCTTAGGCAGAGCTTTTAGATTACCAAATGATGAGAGGCCATGTGGACAGGAGCCCTAGAGGGTGACAGACCATTTTGAATGTTCTAGGCCCAGCTAAGCTCCTAGCTAAATGTAACCATATATGTGACCTCAGCCTAGACCATGGAGCAGAACCATTCAGCAGAATCCTGTCAACTCATAGTATCATGAGAAATAACAGATTATTGTTTTAAGCCACAAAGTTTTGGGATGATTTGTTACGCATAAACAGGTGACTGAGATAGGAAACAAACCTCTGCAGTGCCCAGCAATTGTTTTTGAATGTCTCTGGGTCTCCTGAGGCTGCTGCAGATTTAAACTATCCACTGTCATTCAGAGCCCTTAATTAATCACTTAATAGGTACTCAGCGCCATGAAGGATTTATGGAAGGAAAAAGGATGGTACTGACCTCACCTATCTTCCTGAGAGATGAGTTAATATATACATGAAATCAGGGCCATTTAAGGCACTCAGAAGTTCCCTGGCCTTTCCACTAATTGCTAGATCTGCCCCACATGTTCTTTTCAAACTTTGGAGTTCCAAATTTGAGTTAGGCAATTTGTACAGAGGAGACCTGGGCTATATTAGAGAGATCTAAGGGGGAGAAGTTTTTCTTTTCTTTAGAACCAGTCCTCACTTATTTAATGAGGATGGTACAGGGAGAAAAAAAAAAAACATTGCTCTGGCTGTCCAGACACCTAGATTCTAGTTCCAACTGCCACTGAGTAACTGTATGACCCTGGGCAAGGTTAAACTGAGATAGTAAGAAAGAGCTTTCTGGGACCAGGTTTGCTGGTCTGATAGAGCCTGGTGGAACCCCTGAGACATGGCCCCTAGCTGCCCTTCAGGTCTAGAATTGAACCCACTCCTGTGGCTTCCAGCCAAACAAAAGACAGGCATATAAGCTGAACATTTACCTAAGGTAGATACACTCCTTGGAGAGATCAATCATGGGAAAATAGAAGGGCTGTGTATGCATGGGGAAATAGCTCGGGGGCAGGAATGCATGGGAGGGAAGGACACAGGGAAGAGGTAACTATGGGGAGGAAGTGGGAGGAGAGCTGTTGCATTGTGAGAAATTGCAGTCAATGTCATAAGACAAAGTGTATGTAAACTGTATGGAAAGTGAATTTACTCTGTAAACTTTCACCCAAATCACAATAAAAATTTAAATAATAATAATAATAAATTTTTTTAAAGAAAGACCTTTCTAACTTAGCATTTCTTTTATTATGTTAATAACTTGAATATTTTCTCAAGGAATTAAATATCTCCTAAAATAATTTTTCCTGACTCAAAAATTTCTGCTCTTTCTGGAGCTATGATTTTTCCCCCATCCTGCTTTATAGTGTTGTCTTTTGTTTCTTATAAAAGCAAGGTTTCATATTTCAAGGGAAACCATATATTTCCACCAATTGCATTCCATTATAATTAAATCTTTCTCTTTTCCACTTCCATGGCTGCTAGCAGTAATACACTTGCTGGCACACTTCTGAAAAAGGCATAGTAACAGTCTCTAAAGGATTAAGCTATACAAAGGTTTTTCCCACCAAAGGGAAAAAGAGTTTATAAGCGTATTATACTTTAGTCTCTGCAAAGAAAGACTTGAGCAGTGGGAAGGGGATGAGAAAGAATGGTGACCCTCAAACATTCATTTTGGCATGTGCTGTTGGGGAAAAACTAATAATGTGCACGATTGATTGTTGTACTTAGTGCCCAAAGCCTGTTAACATGATTGGCTGCTCTATGCGTGTACAAACATCTTTGTTGTTGTTGTTATGTGCAGTCAACTGACTCATAGCAACCCCTCCTTGGGTTTCCAAGGCAGTATCACTATGGAAGTAGATTGCCCCATCTTCCTTCTGAGGAGTGGCTGGTGGGTTTGAACTGCCAGCCTTCAGGTTAGCAGTCAACTGCCTTAGCCACTATGCTACCAGAGCTCCTACAAACATCTTTGTTGTTGTTATGTGCTGTGGAGTAGGACCCAACTCATAGCGACCCCTCCTTGGGTTTCCGAGGCAGTATCACTACGGAAGTAGATTACCCCATCTTCCTTCCGAGGAGTGGCTGGTGGGTTTGAACCGCCAGACTTCTGGTTAGCAGTCAAATGTCTTAGCCACTATGCTACCAGAGCTCCTACAAACATCTTTAGTCCTAGGGAAATGTTGACACTTACCAGGTCCAGACTCAGCAGTCTCTAAAAAGCTTTAGTGATTCTGTAGTTTTCTTGGAGTATAGGTAATGAGAGAGGGGAAAATTGTTTTCTAGCAGTTCCTTCCATTAAGAGCCTGAGAAACAGACTAGGAGGGTCTTAGTTCCCTGAGGCAGTCTGGCAGCTGCTGGTTCAGCTCGTGCTTCCGCTGGGCATCCCCAAAGGAACTTGTCTCCTTACGGCCCAGCACAGGGCTGCTCACACTGTAGATTAGTGGGAAATACTTGTTGATTAATCTGTAGATGCCCCTGGGGGTAACCAGAATGTTCCAGCATCATCTCAGATGATTAAGTAGACCAGATAATTGTTGCCTTTACTGAAACCTCCACTCCTGTTTCAGAACCAACACCTCTTGAAGGAGACCAGTGGAAGCAACCAAATCACTCCATCACCTTCAGTCACATCAGAATTTGACAATAAAACCCATAATGAGAATGTGAAACAGGTACTTTTTTTGTCTCTGGTTTAACTCCCTGTGGGCTATGGCGGCAGCCTGAGTAGTTTGGGCTCATTGTTATGGCAGCTTAGCAGGCAGCCCCTGCATTTATTTGCCTGTCTGAGGTCTGAGCGGGGAGGAATGTGTGTTGGTATCTTAGGGATCCAAAATGCTGTGCTGTCTCTTCTTTGGCACTCTCTGCCTTTTTTTCTTGCATGTCAATCAGTGGGATAAATTTCCTTTTCACATCTTGAAAGACGTAGAATAACCAGATTATCCTGAAACAATGAAAAATAGCAATCTGGGCAAGTTAAAGATGAATGGATAGCAGGTTAATTCAGAGTGGTGGCTATTTTGAGCCATAGTAAATTCTAAGAATGTTATAAAGCATATCCTTGAAAATTCAGGAAGAAAGGATATCAGGTTCAGAATCACAAGAGAATAAAGGAAATCTCCACTAAGAAGAATTCCTGCCTTGAGTTTAATGCCCTCTAAAACCTATAGTCATAATTTCTTTTTAAGTAGCAATCAGTACTAGAGTATGTCAATAAAAATAATTGAATCTTGTACTAAATAATGCACTGCTTGTTATGGTTTTGTTACATGAGCCAATGCAGTAATTGGTATTGTTCCTAAGGTAGTTTTGTTCTGACAAATTAGGTTAATGACTTTTTCAGTTAATAACCCAGCAAGCTTTCCTGCCAGCAGGTGAGGTAAACATTGGCAAATCAATTCACAGCTTTCAGCTTCCTGGGACCAGAGAGTGAATCATGTAGGCAATGCTCGTCCTTCTTCCCCCCACTCCTCCTATCTGGCTGAGGTCAAACAGTTCCAGAGGGAGTAAACTGAGAACAATTTAAAGTGGGAGGGACAGAGCAAAGACAGACCAATTGATGGTCAACCAGGAAAAAGAGTTTACTTCAGTAACTTGACATAGTAATGGTTGTTAGATGCTGCTAGCCTTCTTACCTAAGTATAACATCTTCAGCCGGATTCCACAACTTGATTTATTTCCACTCCAGGATATCCTGTACCTTCACAACTCTTTAGAGGAGGTAAACAGTGCCCTAGTGGGGTACCAGAGGCAGAATGACCTTAAACTCAAGGGGATGAATGAGACAGTCAGTAATCTTACCCAGAGAGTCAACCTGATAGAGAGCGATCTGGTTGCTATGAGCCAGGTAGAAAAGAGAGCGAACCTGTCCTTCACCACGGTAAGCCTTTTCAGATCTTTTCTGACATGTTCTGTATTGCGTATATTTTGTCTGTATGGGTGACATTCCACAACCTTTTGAAAAGAAGTCTTCTGGCATAATTGAGAGTCTATACATTTGTATTGTGTTTAAGCCTTGTCTCCTTTAATCCTTACTCTAATTCTTTGATGTGAATAGCATAGGCAGTGCTAGTCCTGATTTGGAAGGAGAGATGTAGAGAGGTTAAGTTGCTTACCAAAGCTTCCCCACAAGTTGTTAGCAGAGATGACAAGCCTCCTATTGTGTTACCAGTGACCCATCTGGTAGGAAAGCTCTAACACATATTTCCAAGTGAAATCTTGATCTTTTCATTTTTAAGTTATGAGTGGTGGGAACTATGACAATTGATAATAATTAAACAATCTTTTGCCATTCTTCTAAGCCTAAACTTGGATTTCCAAATTATCCTGCTTTTGTCTGCGAATTAGGGAAACCCTAAAACACATCAAGTCATACCAGCTCCTTCCTACCAGTGAGGGCTGACAGGAACTTAAGAACTCATTGTGTCCAACCACTCATAATAAGGATGAGGAAACTGAATGGCCTACTGAGTCACTGATACTGGTAGGCTGTGTGGTTTACTGGTTTTCCTGTTACTGTGAATGAAATGTGGATTTGTTTGTTTTTCACTTTCCCATATATGTTGTGCTGGGACCCAATTGGATTGGTTTTTAATAGCTGTAGGCTCCACACTTAAACTTACAGCAAGAATACAGACATATATAAAGAACTGGAAACCAAATACAGGAAATTGTACTATAAATTCAAGTAACCACCACAGCTGGAAGCAAGCCCACAAATAAAGTTTAACTCTGGCACATAGAAAGCAGCGTTTGAACTGACTCTGCCACAATAGAGCCTTGGCAAATTGCCTCAACTTCCTTGGCTTTGAAGGGTGGAGTAGGAAGACCTGTTCCCCCTCCTGCTTTACAGGAGTGTGTAATTTACTACAAAGCTGTGAAGATTAAAGGAGCTTGATTTTAAAAAGACCTTTTGAACTCAGAGAAACTAAGTAAGAGCTAGGAATTTTGGATGATTTGATGAATATTAGGCCTTGAAGGTTTTCAAAGCCTTATTGTGAAAACTTACCACCTCCAAACTCCCCTAAATGCCCCTGCCTCTTTTATTTTTCTCCAGCAAAAAAAAAAAAAAAAAGATGGTAATAGTATCCATCTGTCCTACTATTTCTTCCAACAGCATGCCCAGCATGGTTCTGGGTAAAAGTTCTCTTGCCTTTTCTTCTTCAAAGTTTTAAAGTTTGTGACTGAAATAACTAGAAGCACCACTTTCAGCTTTGTTATCTCCGTAGTCTTTCTCCTCTCTCCTCCCATTCTCCCGCTCCTCTGGTATTTCTGTTGAAATTGTTCTGAGATCCTTTAAACTTGATAATTTGTTTAAAAAGTTTTAATATTTACCTTTAATCTTCTCTTCTTATTCTCCTTACTTTATCTTTAAGATGAGTGATAGAGCTGCCACTCTGAAAAGAGAGTCTTTGGATCAAGTGACCAACAGAACAGATTCACTAAAAACCCACAGCATAAAGGTAAATAACAGAAGGCTTAACTCAAAAAAACCAAACCCATTACCATCAAATCTGACTCATAGTGACCCTACAGGACAGAGTAGAACTGCCCCATAGGGTTTCCTAGACTGTAATCTTTATAGAAGCAGACTGCCACATCTTTCTTCCACGGAGCAGCTGGTGGGTTTGAACCACTGATCTTTTGGGTAGCAGCCAAGCACTTAACCACTGTACCACTAGGGCTTCTTACAGGAGCAAAAATAAAATACATCAGTATCTGTGCTCTACTGCTTCTCAAAAGCAGCACATTGGTCTCATTTACTGGAACTTCAAGACATAGTAATTAGGAAATTAGATTGTTGTTGTTGTGTGCCATGGAGTTAATTCCAACTTATAGTGACCCTATATAACAGAGTAGAACTGCCCCATAGCATTTCGTAGGCTGAAATCTTTATAGAAGCATGTTGGCAGGTCTGGTACTACTCTGTGCCAAGGACTTAGCAAGGAGGTGAGATGACCATAGCGAACAAAGTCCATCAGTCAGAAAATCATTGACACATAGTTGAACAGATAATTAATCTCAAGTATAGTAAGTGCTACAGAGGAAAAGTATAGGGTATGACGAAAGTATTAACAGTGATCAGGAAGGCTTTCCTGAGATGACTTTTAAGCTAAGATAGTAAGTTATCTGTAGTAATGATGGGAAACAGAGGCATAGGATAATCTAAAAATGATGGGTAACCTAAAATTATTTTCAGATTGCAATCTCAGTGTATACACAGTCCATTAAAACCTCACCAGTTCCCTCCACCTGCACTTTCACCTTCTTTAATGTTCCCCAGATAAGTCAAGATAAGCCAAAACCAAACTTACTGCCATTGAGTTGATCCTGACTTATAGTGACCCCCATCGGGTTTCCAAGGCTATAAATCTTTACATAAGCAGACTGCCTCATCTTTTTTCTGTAGAGCAGCTGGTAGGTTCGAACCACTGACCTTTTGGTTAGCAGCCAAATGCCTTAATGACTATACCACCAGAGCTCCTTAAGATAAGCCAAGCAGTCTATAACATGTTTTGATAACGCCAGAAAAAAAGTTTAATTGTAACATTCTTTGTGATTAGAGTGTTGTTTAGCATTGTTTATTTTAGCTTGGGCTAAAATAAAGAAAAAGTCAAAAAGATTGTGACTGAGTAGCTAAAATATCTTCTGAGATGCAAATTGCTTTTGGGAAATTCAGTGGCTATAACATTCAGAGGAAATGAATTTGGACTGGAAACATAGTACAGACTGCTTTTGATATAGCACGTCCCATCCTCACTGTTTGTTCCTTAGCAGTTTTATATTATCTAGATAAAATCACATCCATTATTATACTTTAATTCTTCATAAGCTAGACTTAGGAGCTCTGGTGGCATAGTACCTAAGGCATTTGACTACTAACCAGAAGGCTGGCAGTAAGTTTGGTTTTTTTGGTTTAAGCTAGACTTTGTTGTGTTTTCTGGCTGCTGCTGCAAATTTAAAAAAAAAAAAAACCTACCAAATTTAAAAAAAAGAAACTCACCTAGAAAATGACAATAAAAATTTAACAGCCATATGTAAATGTTGAACACAAAAGGGTAACAGGTGGTTACTGTTGGAAAGTAGTGATTTCAGCAAGAGTTCAGATTTTAACAGTAAATATCAGAACAAAACACAGCCAGTACACACTTGTGCCTAAATTTCTTGGCTTTACTTTCAGACCCTTTGTGTTTTTAACCATCATCTTGATGTGTTAGTCCCTTTGTCCTACCTCATCTACGCATCCTAACCAAATGCAGTTTCTCCTTATTTTTATTTCTTCAGGCATTTAGTAACTGGATGGCTTACATGATACTTGCCACACCCTACCTACTTTTAGTTAAATGTGTCCATATTTTAGCTCCCTAAGTTAACTAAGTTGTTGTTGTTGTTATGTGCCGTCCAGTCAGACCCGACTCATAGCGACCCCTCCTTGGGTTTCCGAGGCAGTATCACTACGGAAGTAGATTGTGCCATCTTCCTTCCGAGGAGTGGCTGGTGGGTTTGAACCGCCAGCCTTCTCGTTAGCAGTCAAGTGCCTTAGGCACAATGCCACTAGAGCTCCCAGTTAACTAAGAGCATTCTATTATACAGTAACTATTAGAATAGAAATAAAGATAGAAGAGAAATAAATAAATAACTCAAAACAAACCAAACTCACTGCCATCGAGTCCGTTCCAACTCATAGCAGCTCCTCCTTGGATTTCTGAGTCCATGTCCCTATGGAAGCAGTCTTCCTCCCGAGGAAATAAATAAATAAATCTTAGAGAGATGTGTAATGAGTTGTGTTCTAATTAAAGATAGGATCAGGACCTTTCCCACCTAGCCTAGAACCCAGGCACACTCTAAATCCACCTGAGAATCAAGCAGGGTGTATATGGAAAGTATAAGCAAGTAAGACTTTGAATTAGAAATATTTGGGCTCCTTCTTGATATTCTTTACAGTTTCTGCTACCAGTTGAATCATTACCAGAGGGAAAACTGGGGTAGTACTTGTGGTCTGTTTTTGTTCAGTTGTTTTGTTTTTTGTTTTTCCCTTAAGGTTTATCACCTTAAAGTGGTCTAGTCACAAGGTAAAATAAGATATTGAAGGAAGTTATTTAGTTAGTGTGAAATAGCTCCTAGATAACAATATCCTCCTCATTTAGGAAATGGGTGTCACATAGGCATCTGAGCAAGGGTACATTTCCTTTACTGCTGACACATGCATACCTTCCCCCTGAACGTTCACAGTGAATCAAGATCACCGAAGGCATAATATTCCCTTAATGGTCTAGCTTCAAATCCAGCTAGGCTCTCATCAACACTGAGTACCAAAAATATCTCTAGTGTTTGTTGATTCTTTCCATCATTGCCTTTATAGAGAACCTACTGGGGGTCATGCACTACATGCTAAATAGGCTCTGGAAAGACAGTGAAGAATCAAATGAGTTCTTACTCCCACATTTAATCTCCTGTTGATCTTTGTTTTGGGCAGAAAGAAGATAGTTCAGATTCTCAGGTATCCAAGCTCAGAGAAAAACTGCAGCTGATCAGTGCTCTCACAAATAAACCTGAGAGCAACAGACCTCCAGAGACCGCCAATGAAGGTGAGAGTAGGGCTGGCTTCTGAATATTTCACGCAGGCTTGGGCAGCTTACCTCCCACATAGGGAATGGAGAAAGGTGTTCCAGCAATATTGATCAAGTCATGTGAATGTTGCCTGAGTGCACCGAGATGAAGCTGATACACTTTGCTTTCATTTAGAATAGGCCCATTTTGTACATGATTTGTACTCCAGTCTATTAAGGGAAAAATGGGTAATGTTTAGCTTGAAATAGACTTCTCCATGCTGTCTGCATCCAATTATAGGCAAAAATGTTACTGTCAAAGCGTACTTCAAGCCAGCCCTAAATGTTGTCTATGAGAGTTTTTTCATTTCTGTAAATGCATAATTTTTACTTAAAATTATTAAGTACATTTATTATTATTAAGTAACATCTATTTTACTTAAAAATAAATGTTGGTCCTTCTGAAAATCATTAACAAATAACAATGGGATCATTGGGTTAGAAAGGCCCTTGGCTTTAGGTAAGGACATAACCTAATCAATACTAGCAGATGCATCAACCTCTATTGACTTAGGCCCTATGAGGACATAACCAAGATGCTGGACTATGCTGGCTTTGATACCCTGCCACCCCCAAGTGTTTGGGGAAAGCAATACAACCTCTCTTGAATTCTCTTTTTGGTGGGACACAACTGCAGCCCTAACATTGTGCTACATAATTCTGTGGAAGCATTTTTTCAGTACTAGCTTCGCTGATGGCACATAGCCCCAGCCTGGCTTATAGCAAGACTCCTAGAATGTTAAAAAGATCGTTCATATCCAGCCACTATGCTGTTCTCACTTGCAGCTTAAACCCTTGAATACACTATAAGATCTTCCAATGGGACTGCTGCTTCAAACCTTTATATAATATAATACTGATTAATCTTCACCTGCCACAAAACATATCTCAATCCAAACCTTTAACTTCACAATCACTATGCTATGTAGTTCTCAGCTATTTCTCTTAAAGTAACTAAATATGTATGCAGTTGCCCTAAAGAGTGACCTTCAATACTAGCTTAATTTGGTGTCAGATTCTTTAATACTAAAACCATGTGTTTTTATTACAGAGCAAGTACAGAGTTTTACATCAGAGCCGCCATCATTGCCAAAATTTTCACAGTCTCTTGGAGATCACATTGAGAAAACTGCCCAGCTAAAACATATCTCCCTACCAGGAATTTCAACCATTAAAGGTAAATTTTTATCCTGCGGGACAGTAGAGGAAGTACTCAAAGTAATAACCTTTTAATATTTTTTAACTTGTAAAAAAAAAATTATACCTAACATTTATTGGGTTCTTTATATGCATTAAGTCATATAATCATAAATATCCATATTCATTTTACTGGGTGACAAACTGCCTAAGTTCACATAGTAAATAATTGGTTGAGGTAGAATTCAAACCAAGGCAGCCTAACAGCAAAGCTTGCACTCTTAACCAATACAGTATATTGCCTTTCTGTTAATGTTTTTATAGAGTTTTCATTCATTAGCTGGGTGTGTAATTAGACTCACTGCTAAGCAATAAAAATACAGTGTAAGATATGATCTCACTTTCCTCAAAGATACAAGTGTAGGACAGAAGACATACAAGCAAACACAATATTGTGAGATTAGCAAAATAAACACTGACCCTGTTCATCAGGGCAGTTCAAAAAATGAGCCCTTTTGCTGAAAATCAGCAAGATGAGCATTAATGGGAAGGATATGATTCACAGAAAATGGGTTTCCCTTGTTTTCAACAGTATGTATCCTTTTCCTCATTGTAATATTTAGAGTCTCCTGATTTTGCATTTACTAACTGCCTGAAAAATCACCTCATTCCTGTCCACCCACCTTTGCCTGGCTCTTCACACCTCAGCTTAGATACCATTCCTCCAGGAAACATATCTACCTCCCAGGACTGGATTAGGTTCTTCCTGTGTGCTCTTACAATATTTTTGTGTTTACCCCTATTTGGTACATGTCTGTTCACAGTAGCCTGAGAAGATACAAATTTTAACTTCTTATGGGAAAGGATTATATCTTATTCATTCTAGTACTCCCAGCCCCTAGCACAGTGCCCAGAACACAGGAATATGTATTAAACAGGTAAATCAGTAAATAAGCAAAAACCAAACCTCTGCCATCAAGTTGATTCCGATTCATAAGACTATGAGACCAGAAGAACTAGATGGTGCCCGGCTACCACTGTCAACCACTCAGAAGGGGATCTATGTAGAAGATCGTGGACAGACTGGGAGAACAATGTGGAACAAAACTCAAAATCATTTGAAAAAAAAAAAAAACAAAGGGAACCAGGTTTGCTGGTCTGATGGAGCATGGTGGAACCACTGAGACTATAGCCCCTAGCTGCCCTTCAGGTCTGGAATTGAACCCACACCTGTGGCTTCCAGCCAAACAAAAGATAGGCATATGAGGTGAATGTTTACACTAGGTAGATACTCTCGTGGGAGAGAACAATCATGGAAGAACAGAAGGGCTGTGTATGCATAGGGACATAGGTCAGTGGCAGGAGTGTGTGGAGGGAAGGACATAGGGAGGAGGTGACTATGGGGAGGAAGGGGGAGAGAAACTGTTGCATTGGGGTAAATTGTAGTCAGTGTAATGAGACAAAGTGTATGTGAACTGCTGTATGGAAAGTGAATTTGCTCTGTAAACTTTCACCCAAATCACAATTAAAAAAAAAAAAAAAAAAGTTGATTCTGATTCAAATACCAACCCTATAGGACAGGGTAGAACTTCCCCATAGGGTTTCCAAGGCTGTAAATCTGTACAGAAGCAGACTACCTCATGCTTAAAGACCTAAATTTATATACCATTTAAATGCTATTACTTTTTTCCCTATCCTGATTTTTTTCTTTGCGTTTCCTGAGGAGGAGGGTGAGTATTGAATATTGCCTCCTCCTACTTCCAATTATTACATCAAGAATTGATGACACTGGATGGGGAGAAGACTATTAGAGCAGATTAAGAAATCATTGTCTTTACATTGGTATTTTATCCCTGACGTAGGCCTTGCATACTTTTGAATGACTATACTTTTTAAATGACTTGAAGCAGTAATCAGAAGAGAGCCCTAGTGGTACAGTGGTTAAGCGCTTGGCTATTAACTAAAAGATCAGCGGTTCAAAAAAGATGTGGCAGACTGCTTCTATAAAGATTTACAGCCTTGGAAATGCTATGGGGCAGTTCTACTCTGGCCTATAGGGTAGCTGAGTCAGAATTAACTCAATGACAATGGGTTGTTTTTTTTGTTTTTGTTTTTTAAGCAGTAATCAGAATTTTATTTTAATATTGCTACCAAGTGCATATGGTGTTGTGTAAACTAAAAAAAAAAAAAAAAAAACCAAACTCAGTGCCATCAAGTCAGATCCAACTCATAGCAACCTATCCTTGGGTTTCCAAGGCAGTACCTACGGTAGTAGATTGCCGAGTCTTCCTTCTGAGGCGTGGCTAATGGGTTTGAACCTCTAGCCTTCTGGTTAGCAGTCAAATACTTTAGGTACTATGCCACCAGAGCTCCCCTGTATAAACTCAGACCACCAATAAATAAAGAAACATACGTACACACAAACAAACTTTTAAAACCCATTTTCCAGCTAACAACTTTGTGGCAGGCATTGGGAACAAGCATCCTACCTGCTTTTCTGGCTTTCAGAGAGCTTTTCAGGTTTTATTAGCTGTATTGCTGGAACTGACTTAGGAGTGAAACTAGGACCACATTCAGAAGCTAGTCTGCAGGAACCCCTTGATGGACTGCAGCTGTTTCCTTGAGCTGTGGGCAGTTCCATTCCTCCTGGGTAGCAAAACTGTAGAATCTGGGTGTGGAATTGAGTAAAGGAAGACAAAGGAATTTTAAGAAGGTGTTTAAAGAAACGTAAGCTACAGTGACCATCTTCTGGTGTTAGAAACTGAATCTACTAAGTCACTGTGTGGAGACACAATCAAATCCTTTTGAGATGTTGTAGAAATAATCAGCCCTCTTAAGTGTTATATGGAGCCCTTGAGAAAATACCGGATGAGACTACTGAAGAAATTCTCCAGTCCTACTGGCTTAAAGAGTATCTTAGAAATAAAAAGAAAATACAGATCAAGTGATGGTATTGCTCTCTCTCATATCTAATATCTACCCTCCCCCCAAAAAAAAATACTTTGAAAAATACCTAGTTGTCTGATGCTTGTTTTTTTTTAATTAAGATATAATTGACATAAAATAACATTCAGTCTTGTAACGTGTATAATCAGTGGTTTTAGTATGTTCACAAGATTATGCAACCATTACCACTGTCTATTTCCTATTTTTATTTTCCCTAAAGAAACTCTATATCCATTAAATAGTTACCCATTAAGCAATTTTTACCCTCTCTCCAGCCCTTGGCAACCACTAGTCTACTGCCCATCTCCATGGATTTGCCTGTTCTGGATGGAATCATAGAATATGTGGCCATATGTGTCTGGCTTCTTTCACTTAGCATCATGTTTTCAAAGTTCATGTTGTGGCATGTGTCAGTACTTCATTCCTTTTTATGGCTGAATAATATTGTATGGATATTTTAAGTTTATTTATCTATTCCTATTGATGGACATTTGATTGTTTCTACTTTTTAGCTATTATGAATATTGCTGTTATGAACTTTCATGTGCAAGTTTTTGTGTAGACATATGTTTTCATGTCTCTTGAGTCTGTACCTCAGAGGGGGATTGTTGGGTCATATGGTAACTCTATGTTCTACTTTTTGAGAAACTGCCAAATTGTTTTTCAAAGTGGCTGCACTATTTTACATTCCCACCAGCAATGTGCCTGGGTTCCAGTTTCTCCACATCCTTATGAACACTTTGTATTTTCTTTCATTTTTATTATATTCAACCTAATATATATAAGGAGTGCCGGTGGCATAGTGCTTAAGGCATTTGACTGCTAACCAGAGGGTGGCAGTTCAAACCCACCAACTACTCCTCAGAAGGAAGATTGGGCAATGTACTTCCATAGCGATACCACCTCAGAAACCAAAGGAGGGGTTGTCGGATCTGACTTGAAAAGTGTTATCTCATTTTGTTCTTGAATCCCTGGTTCTTGAGTTACTTGATTTTTGGATCCAGGGAGACAATGTCATATAGTAAAAAGAGCCCAAACTAGGTAATAAGAAAACCTGTATTCTTGTTCATATTTAGCCACTTAAGAGTATGTGATCTTGGGGACATCAATTGGCATAACATACTATACAAAACATTGTTCCACCTCCTACTTTGGCGAGTAGCGACTGGGATCTTAAAAGCTAGCAAGCTGCTATCTAGATGCAACGATGGGTCTCTCCTCGTCCAAAGCAAAGAAGAATGAGAACAAAATTCGTGGAAACAATTAGTCCTAGGGACTGGTACACCATCCG